CTGGTGGACACAGGCAGGTGTGAGGTCCTCCCGGTGTCATCAGCACCAAACAACTTGCACAAAGCAGAGGTGCTTGGCCTTGTGGTCTGATCTTGTGGTTGAGATGGCTTCCAGGTCCTGGCAGAGCTCCTTTGAGATGAGAGCACAGCGAGCACGGCGTGCTGAGCTGAGATTGGGGTGAGCCAGGCAAACAGCTCTGCTTCTTTACTGTGCCCTGCAGAAACATCCCCGCTTCCTCCCCGCCACGAGCTGGCCTCACAGGCAGCAGGGCCACGCGTCACTTGGCAGCTACCCTGAGGCTGGCATACTCGGTGGGGGCTGTGCCCGGGCTCCTGCCGTGCCGTGGGGCCGGGGGCAGGGGCTGCAGGTCGGCGTAGTGGATGTCGTTCTCCTCCTTGCTGCTCTGCTGCAAAAGCACACACAAATGGGGAATRCTGCCACAAGGAAAGCCTCTCAAAAATAACCCTAAATCACAGAGTTGGATGTGACTCACAAGGACCACCGAGACCACCTCCTGGCACTGCACAGGACACACCAAGAACCAGTTTTAAGCCAGGCTGGTGATGCCACAGCTGCAGAGGTGGCCCCGTGCTGGGGTGTTAAATGTGTGGGGGCTACCTGCAGGCAGCTGCTGTGCCCCTGGCCCCATGCTCTTGCAGAGCTCCTGCAAGCTGGGGCATTGGCATGGAATGTCCCCATATTCACAGCTCACTCTTACCTGGCTGGRCAGGTGGGAGSTCTCTGCATCCAGGACTTCGCTGCRGGGGGAAAGGGTGTCCATTAGAACTAAAGGAAGCAGGGTCCCCTCCCCACCCAGCACAGCCCTCAATTTCCCTCCCAAAATTCAGCAGGATGCCCCTGCTGAAGGCAGAGAAGAGGGACAAAGCACTGTCTGTGTGCCTGGGCTGGGCTCTGACACTCAGTGAGGGGCTGCAGGGATCTCCTTGGTGCTGGGTGCTTCTACCATGAGCTTCCGTGAAACACAGTGAGAAGCAACAGAACAGTGCACCTGTGACTAAAGGACCTTTTGTGGGGAAAATTACTGCTCCAAACAGGACAGGAAGCCATGATAACGCAGATGGGTAAGACAGTTTGCTCATTTAAGGGTGCGGAATGAAGAGGTGGTGAGTACAAACCTGGGGGTGCTGGGGGTGCCTGCACAGCACCGCAGAGGGACGGAYGAGAAGCTGCCCATGGCCACTGGCCCAGCCGGGCACGGGCTGCCCACCCTGCCTTGGCGCTTCCTCCTGAACATGCAAAGGGCGACGAAGAGGCCGAGGAGGAGGAGGAGGAAGCARACAGCTGCAGCCACCATGCCGGGAACCAGGGCTGTCTCTGTGGAGGCAGAGGCAGAGCAGGAGAGGGTGGGGGGTGTGGGACAGAGCAGGACCTCGCTGYGGGCAAGGTGGGGCTGTGGCATGGGATCCCTGGGAGCAGCATCCCCCTGGGCTGTTACTCACCATACACAGACACYTCTGTGCCACTTCCATGCYGAAACACCTCMTYCACACCAMGGMYYSCCTTGCGGWATTTCACRCAGTAATARGTGCCMAYRTCMTCGGGCTGAAAGTCCCTGATGTGGATGGTGAAGTCTGTRTTGGAYCCAACCACTGCTCTCATCACACGRGGYRGGGGCTCTYCTYTCTGGTCATAGATGGTCTTGTTCCCACTGTCCCAGCCCTTCAGCCACCTCACAGCACCAGGGGGAGCAGCTCCAGACGTGGTGCATCTCAGGGTGAGCGTCTGCCCCAGTGCCACCGACACCTTGTCCTGGGGCTGGTGCAGCTCGAAGGGCTGACCCGCCTGGGCACCCACACCTGGGCACAGAGACAGGAGGGGTCAGGGATRAGCGATGGGGGAGGCTAGGGCTGGCTCATGGGTAAAGCAGCCCCACTTGTCCCTGGTTTGCAGCTGAGAGATATCCTGGGATKTGGCAGAGACAACATGCAGGCACCAGGAGGAAGAAAGTCCAGTTCAAAATGGAYAAGGGGCAAATCTGAAAAATGAGCAGGCTGCCAAGGGCAGTGGTGGAGTCACCATCCCTGGAGRGACTTAAATGACATGTAGATGTGGCAGTTGGWGACAYGRTTTAGTGGTAGYYTTGGCTGGGTTAATGGCTGGACATGAGGATTTCAGAGGGCTTTTGYAACCCAAACGGTTCTGTGATTCTATGATTTGATAAATCTACATCCTGTTCTGTCACTTGCAGGAGGTGCTGCAGCTGCCTGGAGGCCAGAGAGGTGCAGAGRGAGCCAAGGGGAACTCCAGCAGGAAAAACTCCTGAGTCCTGTTAAACATTAACACCCTGGYTCTGTTCCACACCAGCCAGGATCACCAGGGCTCTGTGAGGAATTGGGGTTCAGAGCGAGGAGCCAGACAGGAACCAGTGTTCTGGTCAGGCATGTGCAGCCCTGCAGCCCAGCACAACCTCCCGACCCCTCCTCGTCCCCAAACTCCTCCTGCCTCCCCAGACGCCTCCAGTCCCCAAACCTCTGCTGCCCAAAGCCCCCGACATGTTCGGCAGCGGCGCGGCGGGGCTCAGCTCGGCTCTGTTCATTCCCGGGGCTGGGCTCTGCACTCTCGGGGACGCTTCGCCACCAAAAGGTGCTCGGGGAGGGATCACCCTCCGCCCTGCCCGGAGTTAATCTTCGCCCCCCACTCGCGTTAATGACCGGTGGCACACGAAGCAAGGAAGCTCCGAGAGGCTCCGGGGGGCCCCGGTTCCGACTCACCCGAGAGCCGCCGCTGGACGGGGCTGCGCTGCGCGGGCAGGAGCGGAGCTGCCGCCGCGGCCATCGGTTCTGCCCAAACTTTGGGAAGGAAAAGGGGAAGCGGGACAGGAAATGGAGGCGAGCGGGTGRTTAACGCTTTGGTGTCTGCCTGGGGCGGGCATCACCCTGCCGAGACCCCGGCGGGCATCACCCCCGGCGAGCATCACTCCCGCGCTGCCCGGAGCCGAGGGGCTGCTCCGAGCTCGGGGCGGGGAGCGGCTCCGCATCCTYCCCGGTTTGCTGAGGGGCAGGAGCGCCGGGGCTTCGCGGTGTGGAGCGATGCACCCGGGCCCAGCTCTGCACCACCAACCCATGGGAGACACCATCCCGCACTGCGATCCTGCTGGAGAGGGATGGGTGTCACCCTGACACCTCGGGGTGCAGAGCCACGGGCTGGGTGTGGGGGAGCGTGGGGGATCAGCGCCCCTCTCGCTGGCTGCTCAGCGCCTGTGGCCGTGGCTGTGGCACACATCTGAGRGGAAAGTGGGGTAGACATCGCCATTACGGACCAGCCTGGTGACAGGAGATGATGTGGACATTGGGAAGCAAGTGGGACATGACTGCATGGAGGAACTGGGCTGTGGTCGCCCCTTTCCTTCCCCTTTGCTGGCTGAGAGTCCAGCACCCTGATAAAGCGAGCCCAGACCAGCTGAGTCCAACGGAGCTGAATCGAGCTGAGCAAAGCCCAGCCATCAGGCAGCAAGAGGTGGGAATGCCCACGGCTCCAGCGATGCAGGCACTGCCTCTCGTGTGCCTGATGCTGCTCCTGCTCTGCAGAGTTCGAGGTAAGTGGAGCCTGCACAGCCCCAGCACATTTCCCGTGCACACTTTCCCACRCTGCTGGCTGGACAGTCCTTCCCTGTGCCCGTGGGTATCTAGGGCTCTCCTCTTGCTGCCTCCCTTCCAGCTTGCTTTTATCCCCAGACAAGGAGTKTGGTTTACTCCCCAGGCCTGCTCCATCCCATAGTCCTAGCAGCCCTGGGTTACAAAGGACAGGAATATTTCTCTGTCACTTCTCCGAGCTCAGGGCTGGGGTCTGACCATGATTCATGCTGTGCAAGGGGGGCCCTTTTCTRCCCCAAACCCTCCTGTCTCTGTGCCCAGGTGTGGGTGCCCAGGCGGGTCAGCCCTTCAAGCTGCACCAGCCCCAGGACAAGGTGTCGGTGTTAGCGGGGGAGA